CCCTTGCCCCGTGCCCCCCCGCGTCCCCACCTGGCGCGCCAGGCGCACGGCGGCGTCCCCGTTTCCCAAGGGTGTCCCCGTGTCCCGAGGGGTGTCCCCAGGTCCCCGGGGGTGTCCCCGCGTCCCGGGGGTGTCCCCGTGTCGTCCCCGTGTCCCGGGGTACTCCGTGTCCCGGGGGTGTCCCCTTGTCCTGTGGGTGTTCCCGTGTCCCAGATGTGTCCCCACGCTCCCAGGGTGTCCCCACACTCCGGGGTGTCCCCGTGTCGCAGGGGTGTCCCCTTGTCCCGGAGGCGTCTCTGCACCCTGGGGTGTCCCTGTGTCCCACGTGTGTCCCCTTGCCCCGGGGTATCCCTGCGCTCTGGGATGTCCCTGTATCCCCCGATGTGTCCCCGCACTCTGGGGTGTCCCCGTGTCCCCTGGGGTGTCCCGGAGTGTCCCCGTGTCCCAGTTGTGTCCTTGTGCTCCGGGGTGTTCCCGTGGGTTTCCCCGTGTCCCAGGGGTATCCCCACGCTCTGGGGTGTCCCCATGTCCCAGGGGTGTCCCCATGTCCCAGGTGTGTCCCCTTGTTCCGGGGTGTCCCTGCACCCAAGCGTGTCCCTGTGCTCTGGGGTGTCCCTGTGTCCCCAGGTGTGTCCCCGTGCCCTGGGGTGTCCCCGTGTCCCCAGGTGTGTCCCTGCGCTCCGGGGTGTCCCGTCCGGGCCCCGCGGCGTGCGCTGACCCCCGTGCGCAGGATGGACGCGCAGGAGCTGCAGCAGGAGGTGCTGGAGGAGCTGGGCGTCTCCATGGCGGAGCTGCAGGCCGTGGTGGACGAGCGGGGGGCTGCGGGCCGCGCTCACCGCGCTCACCGCGCTCAACGTGCTCGCCGCGCTCACCGCGCTCACCACGCTCACCGCGCCGCCTCCCCAGGGCCATCGGGAAGTGCGAGCTCCTGGTGAAGGACCTGTACTCCAAGCTGGGCCTGCAGTACCGCGAGAGCAGCTCCGAGGACGAGGACGCGGCCGCCGGGGCCGCCGAAATCATCGAGATCCCGGACGAGGACGACGACGACGTCATGAGCGTCGAGTCGGGCGGCAAGCACAGTTCAGTACCGCGGGGCCGGGGGCGATTTTCCGATTCCCCCAGTGCTGCTTTTGCTCCAGGGAGGCTGCGTGTGGCAGCTTCTGGCACGGCTGGGTTGGGGGCCGTCCAACACAGGCAGAGAGGACTCTCGTGTCCAGGCTTTTCTCTTTCTCGCTTCATTTCCTCTTCAAGGGGTTTTAAACCAAATTTTTCTTCTTTTTCTCTCCTTTCTAAATGTAGATGATACCAGTCCCAGAATTGCCAAGGATCAGACACTGGTGAGTTGAAAACCCTTGATTATTCTTCCGCAGAGGAGTTTTGTTGGAGTTCTTGGGCCATCGTATGCAAAAAAGGGTTCTTCATCCTTTATCCCTCCCTCCTTTCAGCTGCGGGAAGCCATGGCTGCGATGAGGAAGTCTGCCCAGGATGTTCAGAAATTTATGGATGCTGTGAACAAGAAAACAAATGCCCAAGATGCCCAGAAAGGTCAGTGTTTGAGAGCCCCCCAGCTCCTGTGGGGTAAGGGAGAGCAGGAGGACGTCCTTTATATCACATACTTACAAGAAGGAATTTTTAAGGAGTTTCTACTTTGTTTCCTCTGTGTGTTTCTCTGGGCAGATGCACAGGCTCCTCCGCAGGCTCCTGGTGCCCTCCAGCCACCGGGCCCTGCTGCTGCAGGGAGCGACCTCAGCAACGACGGGGACCTCAAGGTTGGCATGAGGATCCTGGGCAAGAAGAGGACCAAGACGTGGCACAAGGGGACGCTGATCGCCATCCAGACGGTCGGTACGTCCCGCGCTTGCTGCTGCCTCGCGGCTGCCAAGTCTCTTTGAGCCTGGATCACCAAGTACTGCACCTAGTGCCTCATTTGTGTGTGAAATCTCTTGCTTTCTCGCGATCTTGCTGTGTTGGGATGTCTTTCAGGTGCTGGCAAGAAGTACAAAGTGAAATTTGACAATAAAGGGAAGAGTTTGCTCTCTGGCAATCACATTGCTTACGACTACCACCCGTCGCCAGAGAAGCACTACGTGGGGAGCAGGGTTGTGGCAAAGTACAAAGATGGGAACCAGGTTTGGCTCTACGCCGGCATCGTGGCTGAAACCCCCAACGTAAAGAATAAGGACAGGTATTTAATTCTCCAGAACGATATACTGCTACATTAAGGAAAATGCATATATGTACTTGCTATTGTGAAGGTTATTTGTTTTTTTTTTCCTCCCATTTCCGAGGATCTGCTTCTGAATGTTGTTTCTTAAGCTTTTCTTATCTCAGAAAGCTCTGGGTGGAGCTTCCATTCTGTTACTCATACCCGTGAGTTAGGAATTATCTCTGGTAATTCACTCCAATTATCACGCAAATCTAAGTCTGCTCAAGGCATAAAACGTGGCCTTAGGAAATACAAGCCCTAGGAATACCCAGTGCCAGCAACATTACCAAAGCACTTAAGGGAAAAACATCAGCAAAAATCTCTCTGCTTGTGTGTAAATGCGGGGGCAGAGCTTCCTCAGGGCTGCGGTTGAGGCTTGTGGTCTTTCTGTGAAGATTCACAGAGGATGGAGTGGCCCTTGCTGGTTCAACACGGCTCCGCAGCGACTGCCTGACTGTGTGAAGCAGAGACGGCTGCTGCTCCCGCTCCGTGTTCCTTGCAGCTCCCTCGAGGAGGGCCCCTGTGCCCGCAGGGGACTCGCATGTCCCCGCAGTTAGAAATGCCCCAGGGCCCTGTGCCCCAGGGAGATGCAGTTAGAAATGCCCCAGGCCCCGGTCGCCCACCGTCCAACTCGTGTCTCTGCAGGTTCCTGATCTTCTTCGACGACGGCTACGCCTCCTACGTGAAGGAGTGGGAGCTCTACCCGATCTGCAGGCCCCGTGAGTGACCCCGTCCCCAGCGAGCGCTGGGGGGACGCCCTGGCCGCGGGGGCGCCCGGAACGTGTCCCTCCAGGGCTGTGCCCGCGGGGACCCGCTCTGCTCCCAGAGCGGCCTGTCACCCGCACAGGGGACGCGCTGCCGCGCTGGGGGGTCACACTGAGCAGGGAGGCTCCCTCTGTCCACCCCCAGCTCGGGGGCATGGGAGGGCCGGGGTTTCTGAGCGCTGGGTCCGCAGCGTGCGGCCCTAGGGCACGGAGCGTCCCGCCACGGGCAGGGGTAATCACACGAGAGAGAAATCCCACGTGGGATCCCTTTGAAAAAGAAGAAATAACAGTGCTCTTCATTTAAAAAACAAACAGCTTTCCTCCTCTCCCCGTTCTCCCCTCTAACCCTTCCTGAGCAGTTGAAAAGACTTGGGAGGATATCGAGGACGTGTCGTGCCGCGATTTCATCGAGGAGTACATCACGGCCTACCCCAACCGCCCCATGGTGCTGCTCAAGAACGGGCAGCTCATCAAAACGGAGTGGGAAGGGACCTGGTGGAAATCCCGAGTGGAAGAAGTGGATGGCAGCCTGGTCAAAATCCTCTTCCTGGTAGGGCAGCTCCCCTCTCCCGTTGGAGGGAAACGCAGCTCTGGGGGAGGAGGTCGCGGTGCTTCCCTGGCTGCCTGGGCCCGAGGCGGTTTCCTCACTGCTGCCAGACAGAAACTCTGAGTAAGCAGGTGCTCTGCTTCCCATGCGTCCCCCGGAGCGCGCGCCGTTCCGCTGGCACGTTCCAAAGACCTTTCGAGCATCGTGCCTGGAAAACTTGCGAGTGTAGGAGCAACCCTTCTGCGTGTTAGAGGAACAAGAGAGAAATGCATTTTCTGCGGGTGGTTGTGTCCTGCTTCCTTTCCTCTTGGCAATGCCTGCTGTCCAGGCAGTGCTGGTGCGAGAAGCAGCTGTTGATCCTCAGCTTGCTCCAGCTCTAGAGATTGCAGAAAGGGAACAAACTCATTATCTGTCCCCACTCGGCTCCGCTCCTGTCTTGATAAGTGCATGGCCGCTCGCACCGAGGAGGACGTCACCTCGGTGTCCTCGAGGAGACACTGTTTGTGCAGAGCAGGCAGTTTGTGTCCCCACGGCGCCTGGCTACTCCCTGTGCCTTGGTAGCTGTGCTGGAATAACAGCACACCTGCAGCTGGGGGTCTTGGAGGTGCCTCTTTCTAGTCTGGAGGTGGAGCCGGGTTCATGTCTAGGGTTGTCCCTGGGTTTATGGAGTTTCCTGCCCCTCTGCCCCCGTTGGCACCGTGGTTCTGCACAAGCCTTCGGGCACGCGCGCTGCCCCTGCGCCCTTCTCTCTGCTGCAGGACGACAAACGCTGCGAGTGGATCTACCGGGGCTCCACGCGCCTCGAGCCCATGTTCAGCATGAAAACCTCCACGGCCTCCACCCAGGAGAAGAAGCAGAGTGGACAAGCAAGGACTCGTCCCAATGTCGGTATGTGGTATCCTTCCTTTCAGTGTTTGTTCTGGAACTGAAAAACTTCTTCCCCCTTAAACAAAATTTCTGGAGATCTAATGTTTTCAGTGACGTTTAGCGCCTGGTGTAGATATTGTGCAGCAAAATCAGCCTGGGGTGTGTGAAGCAGCCGGAGTCCGTCGGGGGCGGCCGGCTGCGATTTGCAGTGAGCAGACAGCCGGGTTGTGGCTGCAAGGGCTTCGCTTTCGCTTCCCTTCGGGGCTGAGCCGGGGCTTTGTGGCTGGTACGACGAACTCGGGTTGCTGCAGAGAGCTGGGGGCTGACGTGCTGCTTCCCGCTCCCGCAGGTGCTGTCCGGAGCAAAGGGCCCGTGGTCCAGTACACGCAGGAGCCGGCGCCCCGTACAAACCCCTGGAGCAGATGCAGGCGGCCTCGCTGGCCGCGCGCGCCGTCTCTCCGCAGCCTGCCGACGGGGAGTAAGTGCTCCAGCCCCTTTCCCTGGCACCACCGACGCCGCAGCGCTTCGGGCCTCCACCCTCCTCGCGCACGGGGATCCTCAGGTTTCCTCCATGACCAGCCTGGCTTCCCGGTTACACACCTGGATTCTAGGGAGGCTTCTGGGGGAGCTGCAGGCAGAGGCTGCTGGATGAGGCCCTGGGGGTGGGCGAGCTGACGGCCCCGGCCCCCCTGTGCCAGGTGCCTGTCCTTTCCCGGGGTGTAAGCTTCACCCTAGCTGTATTTCCCAGCTAGACAGTCTGCTGCTTCCCTCTGAGAATCTGAGTTGCTCCCTCGTGTCGCGCTCCAGGCCCTGGCCCTGGGTGCCTTGCGTGTCCGCTGGGACTGACCTGCTCGCCCGGGGGTGGGTTCCGCCTGTCTCAGTCCGGTTGTGCGCGCAGTGGCCGCTCCCCCGCTGTTGTTCCGGCACCGGGGCTCCGACAGCC